CCATAATTCAAATTCATCAATTTATTTTCTGTCAGTTTCCCTCATTGCCCCGTGTTCATACCCACACACTGGTTGTGAATACAATAGTGTGGATGATCTTGGTCCTGGTCTCTAGTAACACATCCTTAAACTTGATGAGCTTTTCTAATTCCTTTATTGCTGCCCTGAGTTTCAGCCTTCTTCTGATTTCTTGGCTGCAGTCTCTATTTGGATTAATGACTGAATCAAGGTATACAACATTGCTAACTATTTCACGTTTTTCACTGTCAATAATTCAACTCAATAATTCTATGATACTCTGAAACCAATTTTCCACATGATGTATTCTACAGACGGACTGGGAAATTAAATACATCTGACATATTTGCCTTTAGGAAGGAATGCTAATGCTGTTCAGAACTGATAATAGAATCATGGATGTTAGGACTGGTTCAGCTGGTACTGAAGTACAGGATGATCAATGCAGCTCTCTTTAATAAGGAGTGACATCCATTGCTAAATTTCACCAGATGGTGCTTTGGCATCCTTTCAGTACCTGCTTAGCAAAGGTGCTAGCTACCTGAAAAAACTCAAAGACAGGATAGCTGCCTTGCATCCCCATACTGGAGGAAAGGTAGACCATAAATAAAATAAATAATTTTAAGAGCAATTGTGATGAGTTTGCCAAAGGAAATTGTGACTTTGCCAGATGGCTTTTCCCTGGATCCAAGAGATACATGGAATGTCTATCCATAGTGGGGCAACTTAACTTTCACACAGCATTTCCAAAAGGGGTCTCTTAAGACCATAGCTGAGTTAGGGGATTTACAGAATGCCTGATAATGTGCACAAGGGAAATCATCTCAAAGAAAACTCACAAAAGAAGCTACACAAATGGAAATAATATTAAGAGTATAACAGTAATAGCACAATTGGGGGAAAAAGGAGAGACAAAAAAATAAAGGCATGTTAACGAATAGTTCACTTGGCTCATGCAAGAGACGGCGAATGCTCCCAATCCTCTTGCTGCAATGAAAGAACCATGAAGAAAGATGGCAGTCATGCCCTTTAAGCATATGCAATTTGCTTGGGGTCAGGCTTCCCACCAAAATCATTTGCCTCTAGAATATTTTTTAGTAAAACCTGTTAGGCATAAAGACTTCAGAGAAGAACTTTTCCATGAAACAAATCTGTTCTTCCAGTGACATGTGGCTCAAGATAAGTTTAAAGAATAATCAAAGTAATAATGCTATCTGGACTTTTTATTAAGATTAATGAGGGAGTGTTGGTACAATCTGAAACAGTGGGAAAGAGATGTGGGAATATATGCATATGAGGAAGGGGGCAGCAAATTGCTTATCCTTCGTAAGTAATATGACATGCAATTCTACATATTAGATGAATGGTAAATCTTCTGACCTTCGTTACTAAAGGATGCTTGCCCTCTGCAACTTTCACAGAGAACTCAGCAGATGACACTGTTGCTCGCTGTGAAAAATCTGCACAACACTTTGAAGGCAGAATCTCTCAGATCTGCTCTCACTTGGATGTTGTAGCTGTTGCAGGTCCTGTGAATGAAACAGTGGCCCCCCGCTTCCCCAATGTTAATTGATGAATTTCAGATGCTGCAGCCTGATTATGTGGTCAGGATCCTTGGAGAAGTGAAGGCTACCACATGCCTTCTGGATCCTTATCCTTCCCGGCTCATAAAAGCTGCCAGAAAGGGAATGGTTGATTGGTTAGGATGAGTGGTGAATGCCTCCTTGCAACAGGGTAGGATCCCATCTTGCTTAAAGGAAGCAATAGTAAGACCATTGTTTTTTTTTTAAAAAAGCCCTTCCTGGATCCCACAATAATGAATAATTACCAAACAGTATCTAATATCCCATTCTTGGGGAAGGTACTAGAGTGGGTTGTGGCCTCCCAAGCTCCAGAGGTTCCTAGATGAGACAGAGTATCTAGACCCATTTCAATCTGGCTTCAGGCCTGATTATGGGACAGAGATGACTTTGGTAGATTACCTACATTGGGAAATGGATAGGGGATCTATTCCCTGTAGGTTTTGCTAAACCTCTCAGTGGCTTTTGATACTATTTACCACAGTATCCTCCTGCCCCGTCTCTCTGGAATGGGACTTGGGGACACTGTTTTACGGTGGCTATAGTCCTTCCTGGAGAACTCAGAAAGTGGAGCTTTGGACTCCTGTTCAAAACCTTGGCCGTTGACCTGTGGGGTCCCTCGGGACTCTGTTTTGTCTCCTATGTCTCTTTGTCTCCTAACATGAAACCACTGGGAGAGATTATATGGAGTTTTGGGGTTCTGTGCCACCAATATGCAAACAACACCCAACTCTACCTCTCCTTGCCACCTAAATGCAAGGAAGCTACTTCGGCTCTAGATCAGTGTCTAGTATCAGCAATGAATTGGATGACGGTGAATAATATGAAACTTAATCCAGACAAAACAGAGGTGCTCCTGGTCAGTCAAAAGGCAGATCAAGGAATAGGGATGGAGACTGTACTGGATGCAATCACATTCCCATTAAAAAAATATGTACGCAGCACAGCTTGCGGGTGATTCTGAATTCATCCTTGAACCTGGGTATCCAGGTCTCAGCGGTGGCCAGAAGTGTATTTGCACAATTAAAACTAGTGAGCCAGCTACATCCGTTTCTTGAGAGATCTGATCTGGCCACTGTAATATATGCCTTAGTTACTTCCCAGATGGATTACTGTAATGCGTTCCTGTGGGGCTGCCTTTGGAAACTGTCAGGAAACTTTAACCTATAAAGGTCTAAATGGCCTGGGTCGAAGCTGTCTCAAAGACCGTATCTCTCATTATGAGCCAGCTTGGGTATTAAGATAATCGGGAGAGAGCCTTCTCTTTTGCTGATCCCAGACTTTGGAAGTCCCTCCCACAGGAGGCCAGACTGGCTCCATCTTTGCTAGCCTTCCGCAAGTAGGCAAAGGCCTTTCTCTTCAGGCAAGCCTTTCCTCAGTAACCAGCTACCGGTGTGTGATTGTTATGCATTACTGCTTTGACTAGGCTGCTAGTACTACTTGCATTTTCCTCTCAGAGTGACATTTTAAAACATGTTTGTATAGATTGATCTTTGCATTAATAATGCTTTTCAACTGAGGTAAGCTGCCTCTTTATTCATTGTTCTTGTGTGATTTTTAGATAGATTGCTATGCATTACTGCTTTGACTGGATTATTTAGTACTACTTTTAATTGAAATAACATCAACTGTGGGTCCTGATGGCAATTTTTAAAGTATCTATTTTAATTGCCTTTTAATCATTTTATCTTTTATTGTATTTTAACTGTTGTAAGCTGCCCAGAGACCTTTGAATAGAGTGGGAGGCATGTAAGTTAAATAAATAAATATATAAATAAATAGATAGATAAATAGATAAATAAATAAATAGGTTGTTTTTTAAATAGGTTGATTTTTAAAATGATCAACCTGGGATTACCTCAGGAGATCTGCATGTGGATAAAGGATTTTCTAACAGATAGGCCACAGTCAGTAAGGATGGGATCTCACCATTCTTCTACCCTGGTACAGGGTACAGGAGCTCCCCAGGGCTGTGTGCTAAGTCCCTTCCTCTATTCCCTGTACACACATGATTGCACCCCA